CCACATGTGGCTCTTTGATCCCTCTGCAGTGGCTCTTTGATCCCTCTGCAGTGGCTCTTTGATCCCTCTGCAGTGGCTCTTTGATCCCTCTGCAGTGGCTCTTTGATCCCTCTGCAGTGGCTCTTGGAAAATGTGACCAAACATAACAGAATTAACTTTTTTTGTTTTGTTTTTATACCCGCAATAAAAATCAATTTGTATGCAAATATGTGATCAATATTATTAATACAAAAAGTAAAACATGTTAGCTCATGCTAGCCTGTTGTTTACTTAAATATTCTAATTTATTTCTATGATCTTTCTCTCAAATCCATCAGAATTACCTTTTAAATAATATAAAGACTACATAATAATAAGAATTAGGAAAAAAAATATGCCTGAATAATTCAACTGTACTAGTTTTTATGAAATTTGGTATAAACTATATACAGTATTTTTCTTGTTTAGATGAATATGGTCTTTTTGTCCTGATGTTTATAATAAAAAATAATAGATGCATTTAGCTTCTAGTTTCCTGCAACTTTTAGCTTCTAGCTTTTTGACATTTTAACTACTATTGTGATCCTTCTAGCTAGCTTTTGCTACTTTTCAATTTTAAGTAGGCCTTAGCTACATCTAGCTTTTAGCCAGAGCTTTTCTACTTTTTTCAGTTTTAAAATGATTAATCTTTTACAAAGTTTCAGACCTCAGTTCAGCTCTTCAAGGCTCCAGCTGAATGAAGCTGAAATGTAACTTTTCCATTTGTTGCAGTTGATGCTTTATTCTGGTGTTTGTGTTTATTTTTTACAAACTTTCAGGAGATCCAGACAAACATTGAGGACATGTCTAAAGCACGAGAAGTCATGAAGCAGGAAAGGCAGAACTTTTCACAGCAGGCGGCTGAAATGGAGGAAGCTCTAAAAGAAGCAGAAAGACTCTTAATGTAAACGAGTCAAAGAAAAACCTTTAATAAATGTGATACTGTATGGATTGTTTTTAAAACTAAATAAAGAGCAACTTTATTACTATATGTTCATATTGATTCATTGGTGTGGGCTGCCATTTATAAAGTTACACAGTCAGAAATTACCACCAGTATTTTTGTTTTATTTAACCTTTTATAAGAAAAAAAAGAACAGATTTATTTTTCAAAGTCAGTTTTTCACCA